AAATTATTACAGAGTTGAGGGCAATAATAGGCAGTATTTGCGGTTTGAGTTGTTGAAGGTTTGAGGATGTTTGAGGGCCGTTTAACCCTTATCCCGACGATGGAGCTTACATGATGTCAGGCATGATGTTCGCCTGGGTTTGCCGTTTCTGCCTAGGCTTTCCACGTTTTGGTTTCTGGCTTCAGGTTTAGGCGTGATGTTTTGCGGCCATATCGGGCGGCAAGACTGGCAAGTGAAGTCATGCGGAACTGGTAGCAGTCTAAATCAAGCAGGCCCTCAACGGCATCTCTCTGCGTGATCATCGGTTGAGCACATCACACTGATTCCATTCGTTGTTTCCAAAGCAGACGAGCTGACCATCTGTCCGCACTGCACAGGTATGCCAAGCGCCCACTGCAACTGCCAGAACTGGCCCCAAATCCTGCTGGCACAGCACACTGACTCCATTTGTTGCTGCCAAAGCAGACGAGCTGACCATCTGTCTGCACTGCACAGGTATGCCAAGCGTCCGCTGCAACTGTCATAACTGGTCCCACATTTGCTGGCACATCACTCAGATTCCTTTCATTCATTCCAAAGCAGACGAGCTGACCATCTGTCCGCACTGCACAAGTATGAAAACCACCCGCTGCAACTGCCAGGACCGGTCCTAAATCTGCAGGCACATCACACTGATTGCATTCGTTGTCTCCAAAGCAGACGAGCTGACCATCTGTCCGCACGGCACAGGTATGATAACCGCCCGCTGCAACTGCCAGGACTGGTCCCAAATCTGCTGGCACATCACACCGACCGCGGTCGTTTTGCCCAAAGCAGACGAGCTGACCATCTGTCCGCACTGCACAAGTATGACGATCACCCGCTGCAAATGCCAGAACTGGCCCCAAATCTGCTGGCACAGCACACTGACTCCATTTGTTGCTGCCAAAGCAGACGAGCTGACCATCTGTCTGCACTGCACAGGTATGCCAAGCGTCCGCTGCAACTGTCACAACTGGTCCCAAATTTGCTGGCACATCACACTGATTCCTTTCATTGTCTCCAAAGCAGACGAGCTGACCATCTGTCCGCACTGCACAAGTATGAAAACCACCCGCTGCAACTGCGAGGAATGGTCCCAAATCCGCTGGCACGTCACGCTGATTGCGTTCGTTGTATGCACTGCAGGCTAACAGACCGTTGTTCCTCACTACACAGTTGCTATAGCGGGTGCCGGAAATCCAAAGCTTTCCAGAGAGTGGCGAGAATGCAGAAGACTGAGTCCGAACGCGCCAGGAGCCAGAGTGGACTGCAAGAAACGACTGAAATGCAGCTCCCGGTATCCAGGAGAATGTGAGACACGCCAGGCCAGCTCTCAGAACCTTTGAGAAAAGCCAGCGGGAAGACATGGTCCACAGAGAGGCATGTAAAACTAAAGAACAAGATCTGAGAGAAGTAGCTACAGATTCCAACTCCATTATAGTTACAACCTTATTCCTAAACCTTATTCCTATTATTGTAAAATTTGTTAAGAAGACCATTTCCATTTTCAAGGGTTAGGGATTTCGGGTTGATACTATCGGGTTTTCTATGGGAGTGTGAGTGCATGGGTTTGAGGCTGGGTTTTTTCTGTGTGGTGGTGTATGGGTATTCTAGCGGTTCCATCATATAGGTCTTTTTGGTAGTTGAGGTATAGGTTGTTATGGTTTNNGGTGGGTCTTTCCTAGGGTTCTACCTATGGGTCTTGGGTGAGTTGAAGGTTGAGGTATAGGTTGTTATGGTTTGGGTGCTAGGGGGGGTGCCATGGTTGAAAATGGAAATGGTCTATGCTAACTCTTAGGGTTTAGGGCTTAGGGTTTTGGGTTTAGGGTTTAGGGCTTAGTGTTCAGGGTTTAGGGCTTAGGGTCTAGGGCTTAGGGTTTACGGCTTAGGGCTTAGGGTTTACGGCTTAGTGTTTAGGGCTTAGGGCTTAGGGCTTTGGGCTTAGGGTTGAGGGTTGAGGGTTAACAGTTGAGGGCTGTTGAAGGGCTGTTGGCGCTGGGACTGAGGGCCTTTGAAGTTGGGCTTTAGAATAAGGTTTTGTTGTACATTATACTGTTCTTGTGCTCCAAACTAGTATAAGTAATTATTTAGGCCTCGTGGACTCGTGGATGTGGAAGCCTGCGACTGTCCATTGTCTGTCTGGGAGTTCGATGCTTCGATATTCAGTTTCGTGTATGGGGTTTTGGGTTTGGGGTTTCGGGGACTTGTGAGTCCTGGGAGTGGTGTTGCAAGGGTAGGGCAGCATTGTCTGGGGCATGAACGTAAGGGGTTAAGCTGAGGATAAGGATTCACCAGTTATCCTGCGGCTTAGAACAGAAAGCAATACCAAGATCACATCAGAGCATTCGAAATCAATATAAGGGCAGGGGTATATTGCACTATAGTTCTCTAGCAGGAACTGTCTGGAACTAAATGCCGCAATTTTTCAGCATCCCATACCTCTTAGGCCTCTACACGGCATGTCTGGGCTCCGGTCTCCACAACCCAAAGCCGTAAATAGCGAACCCTGACCCCCAAGTCCTAAACCCTAGAGCCCAAAACCCTAAACCCTAAACCCCGAGCCCTACACCCTAAACCCGAGCGCAAGCCGAAGGACAGCCGTGAAGACGATGCCAAAGAAGAGCCTGGGCTAGCCATGATTTGAGGGTCTTTATATAGAATAGAATAGGGCTTTCAGGATTACTTTAAAGGGGGTTAGTTTTAATAATCAGAACCTCACCTTTAAGGGTTCGTTTAAGCGGATTAGTTGCCGTAAGGGAGTAGGCTTTTAGGGGGGGGGTTCGTTGTAGCATAATTAAAACCAAGAACCCAAGGAAGAATGTTGGCAATTTTTAGGCCCCGACGTTACATCCACGACTTGCGGCTTCGGGGGTTCGATGGGCGGCACTCGGTTGTAGCATCAAAGAGCCAGGTAAGAGCCAAAGAAGTCTTAGCACGGGAGCCACTGCAACTGGCTTTCTACATTGGGCTGCAGAACTACGCTGCTGCATCTTTCGCCACAACGAACATGAAAGGATGGAGGCCGAAATGTAGGTCTGCCGGCTCTGGTGCGTCATGTTTAGTGTGGTGTGCCTTCCACGCTCCCTGATGTAGGCGCATGAATAATTACCAATAGTGTTCCTCAGGGTTCCTTTATAGAAACCATACATATTTATACGATAGTATATCTCAAACCCGGTGTACTCGCTGAGGCCTGAACCCTAAACCCCAAACCGGGAGGTCTTTGTCAGAGGAGCTCGAGAGCCCAGAAGACGTCGTAGACCCCCGGCCAGCTTTCAATGGCAGGGCCACTGATGCCTCGGAAGTGCGTGGGTTGGGCTAGGATCGGGCCAGGGCTTTAGGGCTTTTTCAGGTTTAGGAATTAGGGTTTAGGGCTTAGGGCTTAGGGTTTAGGGCTTGTGGTTTAGGGTTTTGGGTTTAGGGTTGCTTGGGGTTTAGGGCTCAGGGTTTTGGGTTTTGGGCCTTTGAGGGTCGTAACTGCTCCAAGGGGTTTAGAAACTTAGGGTTAAGAGCTTCAGAGGATCTAGGGCAGAGGAACGGATAACAACGAAGAACCCTCGGGCCAAGCCTTGTGCCCCATGTTAGTGTGATGAGATTAAGGGTTTTGGGGTTTCATGGTTGTGGATTCAGGGTTCAAGATACCCTGCTTCTGGGTTAGCCTGCGAGGCTCCTGAACGCCATTCCCAGTTCGCTTTCGGAGCGTTTTGGCTAGTCTTCCTCACGGCTCCTTCATACAGCTATACCCCCAGCTCTAAACACTATCGCCCCTCTATCACAGAACCCCTATAAGCCCTTGTTTTTGTAACCTTTCTAACAGCCTTAACGAAGCCCTGGTTTGGTAAAAGCTTCCGATAGCACGAAATGGCAACTAACGATTTAGTCCTCTACTATAGGGCCTTCATCATTAATAATTACCTACATTTTTGAGGGGGTTCCTTATTGTGGTTATAATGTAACGGTCCCCGAAACCCTATACTAATTCGTAAATTAAGGCCCCTTCAAGAGAGTGAGAGTGCTCCCCTAAACCCTAAACCCTAAACCCTAAACCCTAAACCCTAAACCTGCTACCCTGGCCCGAAGCCCCATACCCCGCAAGAAAAAAAGGTTGGACTCTCTGCGGCTGTGGCACCGGGAAAACCTGGGCAGTTGGGTCCAATATCGGGGCCTTTTCCTTACCTATACTATTCTGGGGGCCTCAATTGTTGGGGGCTCCTTAGTATATTTATAGTACAATCTGCCCCCAAAGCCCTATTCTAATGATTAAGACCCCTACATCAGGCTGTAGGCTGTGTCGTGGGCATGAGATCGTGGGCTTTGGGATGGTCGGTTTCATGCTTTGCACTTAGAGTTCGGGATGTCATTCAGCCTCGTCCCATCTCCATATGGCTTGGGTTTGGGAACGAATGGTTGAGGTGTAGAGTTGGGGACGGCTGCCGGGATTTGTGGGAAGGATGGCGCAGTGTGGTCTAAGCAAGGTTCTTGAGCCGCACACGGGCCTGGACAGCTTTGGTGGATGGTGCTATGTTGATGTTTCTTTTTGCGTTGGGTACAAATCGCCCGCTAAACCAGCGCTGTTGAGACTCGTCTCGGTATGACATCATGCTCAACTTCGCTATTCTCAGCAACATGTGCTTGTATGAGTGTAGGTATAAGCAAGCCAATCTGCCCAGCATACCAAGCAACCCCACTGTGCAAACCCATAAACACTTGGAGCAGGCCCCGCAAAACACATGGCCTGAACAAACAGGAAGTTTCAGAAGCTGAGGGACCCTGATGTAACCGCAAGATCTTTGTCACAAGAATACCGACAAGGAGACCCGTAAGTTTGGCTAGGCCTTGCCCAGATTGGGTAATTGCACCACCACCGCCGCCCCACTAGTAGCCATGATATCCTAAAGCGCTTTACCATATAGAAAAATAAGGTGCAATTCTCCAAAATGGACAAGGTAAGGGCTCGCCCAGTCTGGGTAGTTACATCACCGTTAACCATCTATAGCCCAATATCTGTCAAAGTACTTTACCTGGTCTATTCGTCAGGTAATGTAACTCCCCGGATATAGAACGAACAACCCCCGTACTCATACTACGCCACATAAAATGAACAAACCTAAGCTTCCCCAGTTTCGGATGCTACATCACCTGAAAAATGAAATGTTTTCTTTGTGGTACTGTGATTTAGGGGTTATTGAGCACTAGTTGTCGTGATAGGGCTATATTGGCGTACATTCTATGTGGTAAAGGGTTTCAGGATATTGTGGTTACTATTTGGGCGACGGTGATGTAAGTACCCAAAACGGGCAAGCCCTATGCCAACTCCTTACATGTTCTGCTAGGGTGCCCAAGTTGTAGCCGGTGTCGAGACCATTGTACTCACTCTGCAGCGCCATGACGAGTGTATTCAGGCAAATCCTTGCTGCCAATGCTGGGTTGCGGGTTTCGGGCTTATGGCGTAATGTAGAGGCCTGAATGATTGGAATAGGGTTTCGGGCCCCTATATGGCATAGTTATACTAAGGGACCCCCCAGGAATGGCATGGGCAACTATTTAGGCTGCCATATTGGGGCTTAGGATTCTTGGCACAGTCTTCAAGGGCGCCGATTTTGAACTTGGTGACAGTTCCAGTTTACGTGGGAGGGGCTCACCGTCTTTGGGCCCACATTCTTGAAGGGTTTGGGGATTGGGGTGTCCGGGCTTCGGCTCTTGAGGATGTTCAATAGGTTTACGTGCAAGTGACATAGCCAAAGGAACAGTCATACACGAGGGTAATTTCTATAGGATCCTGTGCAGGGACCCTGATAGAAACTTGCATAAGATGGAAAGCTCAAAGTGACTCTAAACGTAACCTTTATCGAAACCCTTCCGAAATCCTTTCTATACCCTCCCCTTAAGCTGTACAATCAAACTTACAGTAACCTTTAAGGTAACCCTTAAGGGATCTGAAGCGAGGACGCATGCTTGCAGCTCAGCTGCAGAACGCCAAAGACCGCCTGACAAGGATTTCGTTGGCAATGCTGAGTTGAGGGCTTAGGGGCTTAAGGCTTAAGAGGATTAATACAAGGGCCTTAATAATTAGAATAGGGTTTGGGGGTATGTTATACTATAACCATAGTAAAAGTAAAGAACCCCCAAAATAGTCTTGGCAATTATTGAGGCCCCTACCTTAGGGTCTTGGGTTTGATAGCGAACCTGGGGCGACCCTGGAGTTCTGCTGTGTCAGGCCTCGGGTGAAATCACAAGGTTGCACCCTTGACGTTGGTTCTTTCAGGCCGTAGTCTGGTCGGGTCGAGGACTCGGGGCCAAGACCCACCAACCTTCTAAATGCATTGAGCCCTAATTAGCAAGCCCAATGAGTATGCCCTGAGCCTTATTGAGCCTTGAAACACTATGAGCCCTATTCACCCTAAGGGAGCCCCGAAACCCCATACAAAACCAAGTAACATCAACTAACACCACATACTTACAAACTCGAAAAGCCCCAGTAACTCGCCCCAGACCCTAATCTTTGAACCTTAAACCCTAAACCCTAAACCCTAAACCTCTCTAGTAACCCTTCAACTAACCCTCCTTCGGAGCGCTTAAACTTCAAGCAGCCCCTACAATCCTTGGAATCGCCCTTCGAGGCATCCCTCTGATAAACCCTACCCTTAAAGGAACCAGTAGAGTCCCTAGTCCCTAAACCCTTTCAAGGGGACCATGAAAGGAACCCTAAACCCTAAACCCTAAACCCTAAACCCTAAACCCTAAACCCTTAACGGAGCCCCTAGACAAAACCCGTAGAGCGGGCGCACCTCGAACTGGAAGCTGGCAACGATCGGCCGTGTAAAGTTTCGGAGTCGTGCCAGAACCTGAGCTTTTTTTTACCGGTTGTTACAAGGCTCTTCAGGGCGGTGTATTATGGTCTTCGGATTTTGGGATGCTTTTCGGGTTTAGGGTGCAGGTTTTAAGGCGTGGTCACATGAAGGATGTGGGGTCGAGGATTCGGGCATTTGTTGGCAAATTGGCGAAACTAGAGTTGCTAAAAGCATACCCCCAAACATCCCACGGCCCTCAACCACCGTCCCTACCCACAGGTCCAGCTTTCTTGCCCGGTGGCATTCCATCCTCCACTGAGGGATCCCAAGGACTGTGCGATTCAGAAACATGGGTAGGGTTTAGGGCTTAGGGTTTAGAGGCTAGGGGCTTTGGACTTAAGGTTTAGTGGTCTAGGGGTTTAGGGACTAGGGGCTCAGCAACTTGGGTTGGGTTCTGCATTCAAAGCTTCGGGGTTGAGGGGCTTGGAGTAGAGAGAGCTTGCCTGGTCTATGGTTGACGCTCCAGTAGGGCCTTTTGGGGAGAAGGGCTTCTGTGGGCTTATAAAGTTGGGTTTGCTCTTCGTCTGGTGCTTGCGTTCCGAAATGAAGGAACTGCTCTTCAACTGCTATACCCTTGCCTCTTTGTTGCCCTAACTGTTCCGAGAGCTATTGCTGTGTGTGCGTGCGCTGTCTGGCAACGTTCATGGTTTCACTTAGCAGGCTGCCAATACTTTTCGCAAACTCTGCTTGTTCAACACTGCAGCTATCGCAGCTGGAATGACACATAGATTTGCAAACGCATGCTGTTCCAGCAGTGCCGGCTATATGCCATAACCACTAAGGAACTGATCCCTAAACCATAACCCTATAGCCCTTACAGCCGTACAGAAGCCTCAAAGAACTGAAACCGTCACCAGTTTTCATTCCTCAATTCCTACCAACCTCAACCTGTTTCGAAGGCACAGTCGAGCCATGTAGGGACCTCAACAGTTGAATAGGACTCCTTTAAAGGTTCTTTAAAGGGTGACTACAAGAGTTTGCATAAGATAATGCCTCAACCCTTTTAATAAGGGGTTGGGATAGATTCTACTGCTATGCCCGAAATTAAGGCATCCTAAGGAATATCGTATTTATTGTACTATACCCAAACTGAAGGAATCCTAAGGAGTAGACAATAGCGATTGGCCGCAGACCAAATCAGGCCTTCTGCTTAAACAAGACCTGCGACACCGCGCCGCCGGGTGTTCGCCGGGTGCCTAGCTTTGTGGCTTCCACCGTGGCAATGAAGATCATCGTAAATACATCTCATTCAGGTGTTGGGTCATGTACTATAGCTACAGGTACCTTAACGCTTTTGAGAGGGTTTCGTGGTGTATATGTAGGGAACTATAAGGGATACTCTGAACACTACTTCGTTCGAAGCCGATAATTCTGCTACAAGGCCCAAAAGTCCTATAGAGCCACGCCTAAACTTTCCAAAGCCCGGAGCGTGACCACATCCCAACACCTGGCTAATGGATCAATCTCATGTAGGCCAGTTTACTAGTTAAACCCGGACCAACTGAAAAATAAACGTGGCGCCAAACCCCTTGACGTGCAACGGGGATCACTGAATCATGCTGATCTGCCTCTCGTTTTTCGTGAGGAGGCGGCCGCCAAACCAAGCCTCTTCCCACGACCTGCGCGGTCTCAAACCGCCACAAAAAGATCAGGGGTAGGAACGGCTGTTTTCAGGTGAGAGAACCACCCGAAGCCATAAACCCTCATCCGCAGAGCCTTGCGAGATGGTACCAGGCGTCAAGCTTCGCCTGAGGATCTACGGGCGTTGTGAGATCACGACTCTTTAGGGTTTGGGGTGAACTCTGGCGGAAAAGCCGTCAGCACTGCTGAGTTGCAGAACCGAAGCGGCATCTGCAGTCAGACAGCACTCCCGTCTAGATATGATAGACGTTGGGAGAGACGGAGAGGCTCTGACAAATCAAGCCCAACAGTTGCCCGTATGTACGGTACTTGTAGGAAGCATAGACCTCTTCTGAAATGAAGCACCAAGGCACGATGCTGGCGTCAGCGGCTGTGCATCCGTCTCGTCGTCGTCGCTATCGGTGCTGCTGCTGCTGTTCGAGGAAGCTGGCGAAGGTGTTCAATAGGCTTTTGGGTTTAGGGGCCAAACAACTGAACCACGGACGCTGCTCTGGAACCCGAAAGGAAATTCAGAAAACAGGCCTGCGCTTCGCGGCGGAATCTGCTTGGCTTTGCTACGCAGCTGCATGGTCGGCGCGTGTATTTATCTCAGGCCCTGCCCCCACCTCCAACCCCCGTGGATATCTCCCAACCAGAAGCTGGATACCTCAAACACTTCACTGCCAACTGTGGACCCCTTTAATCTCTGAATCCATCACCTCTAGCGACGCAAAACCCCGTAGCTCCCAACATCCCTGCCCCGAGCCTGATTTCGCCTTGTGCATATCCGAGAACCTCGGAGTGCTGCAGGCGATATAAACACCCCTTTGCTCAAGTCCCAAACCTTAGCTTAAAACCCCAAGCCGTAATTAAGCCCTAAATCACAAAACCCAGAAACCCTGAACATCACCGAAAACCCGAGATCCTATATCCTAGAAACCCGGAAGCCCTATCCTAAAGCCGGAAGCCTTGGACCGCAACTCTGTGACCTAAATAGCCTCCTAGGGTTTAGGGTTTAGGGTCTAGGGTTTAGGACACGCTCCTAATTCTTAAAGGAAACTACAGGTAGGGAGTTTAGGGTATTAAGGGCTTCTATAAGGCTTCTATAAGGTATATAGACCTTCGATAAGCCTCCTTTCACGGCAACTGCCCACCTGAAAATGTCCTAGACCTAAACCCTAAACTTCAACACTCGCAGCCCTAGCATCCTTACATTCCTGTTCCAAGGAGCTTCAGCCGGGCTTGTAGCTTGACCATTGACAGGACCATCTGGTCCATCAGCCCCTGAAACAGTTCTAAACCCTAAACCCTAAAATCCT